ATATGTACGATATTCAAATTAGAAAGTTAGAGTTTATTATTGAAAATTGGGGACTTATCAAAGTTGATAAAAACCTTTCTTATTACAGTTACATACAAGAGTTTGGTGGGGGTATCTACTTTAATACTGGGTTATGTGAAAATTGTAATTTGTATGATCTTGACATAGCATTAAGATGGAAAATGTTTGAATCTTTCCCGAAGTATTCAGGCTATAAATCACTTCCACTAAAAAACTTTGAGAATCATTCTACTATGAGGGATTTCACACAAACACCAGAAAGACTTGAGTTAGCTATCCACTGTTTAGAATTCCTAAAAGGATTACAGAATGAAAGCAAGAATTAAAACTGGTGAACCTTTGTACAATAACCTTACTCTAGGTAAATGGTATAGTATAAAAGAAATTAGTGTGGAAACAACCCCACATGTCGGAAAGAGTTTTGAAATTGATGATGATGAGGGTATGAATTGTTTCTGTTTACAATTTCTCTGTTCTTGGATTAATAATGGTAGTTGGGAAATTTCCAATTAACCATTAAAATTAAATAAGCCAGATATATATCTGGTTTTTTATTGTCTTTAGATTATTAATATGTTAAAATCAATATCTTTAACGTATAAGGTAATATAAATTATGGATGGTAATATGAATAACATGGTTGCAATGGCAACAAAAGATAGAGACTTACACATTCTTGATTTAACCAATCAAGTGAACAATCTTTCTCTGGAGAATAAGAATCTAAAAGATCAGATATATAATATTGGTAAGGTTCACATTGACAGACTCTTTCAGTTAAAAGAAAAGCGAGAGGTAATCAATCAACTCCATATGGAGATAGAGGGTTTAAAAGGTTTAATATTCCCAGAAGTTAAGAATAAAAAACTTTTGAATTTTAAATTATTTGGTTTTCAAATTAATGTTGAACGTGTAATTAATTAGAGGTTATATATGAAAATACGAATTAAAAGTGGAGAATGTCCTGATTATCTGACGTTAGGTAAGGTTTATGATGCTTGGGATTCTGATATCGAGTATTATCTTTACTATATAACAGATGACAAAGGTGAAACTAGATTGATTTATCTGGAGGATTGCGATCACCTCAACGGTGGCTCATGGGAGATTGTAGATGATTGATATATGGATTTTAACAGTGGTGTTGAGCAATGAATCATCAATGACTTCATTTCAGATAAAATTATACAGTGAAGATAATGCAAAACAAGAGGAATTAAAGTGGAGTAAGATAAAAAGAGATTTTTATTGCGATACCTTTATAACCAAAACCCAAGAGCAGAACTGCTTTATTTGTCCTATAGAAAATATAGGAGTTTAAAAAATGCCATTTGATGCTTGTTACTATGCTGTTTTTTATTGTGATATTTGCCATAAAAAAATTGATGGTTTTGGTCAAAAATTTGATGAAGCAAAGAGAGAAGTGGAAATAAAAGGATGGAAAGTAAAGAAGTCCATTCAAGTTGCTTTATGCCCTGAACATATCAATGCAACTAAGTCTGAAATAGAGGTAGCACAAAGGAGATATGATGAATAATTACATAGATGATGCTTTCTTTGACAGAAATCACAGTATTACTCTTGTTGAAATGACAAAAGAAAGTACAAAAACAGTGACTTTGGACTTCAAAAACACTGAAGATAGATTATATTTTATTAATCTTAATATTAAAGATGAAAATTTATTCAAATATGAACTCTATGACTTGGCAACTCAAGTTTATATCAATGATTCTGATTCTGGAATACAGATTAGTAAAATAATCTTAATAAAACCACTAATTTAATAGGAAAAATATATAAATGAAGAATTTATCATTGATCTTTACAATGTTTATTGGGTTATTTATAACTAATTTGGCTTTTGCAAATGTAGAAATGCAAAAAGATGTTAGCTTAAACAGTAATGATTCATTAACCAACAGTATCGGT